AAAATTTCTGTTGGTGACTAAGACTCTTACCAAGTGCTGACTCAAAGCATGGCTTCCGATTGGACTTAAAACTGATGATTTGTCTAGTCAACTAACTCATTTTTCACGAACTCTGCATGTGGGTCGTGTAAGATTGTCGATTATTTCAAGGCACAGTGAGTGAACAGTTTTTATGCGGCCATCAGAAATCATCATCACTATTACAGCACTGAAAGCAACATACTGGTCATCCATACTGGTACTCAACTGCCATACTAGCATGGGAGAAAAAGCCTTAGTAAAGAGTGATACGAAAAAAGAACGGTGAGGACTTGGTGGAAACATAGCCTTCGAATGGTAGTATTCAAATAGTAGTATAGTATATGGTATAGTGTAGCATAGTATAGTATGGTATAGTATAGTATAGTATAATATAGTAAATAAACACATCCGAGCACCATCTCAGACAAAAGGTGCCATCAGTGAGGTCTATCATACGTCCTTTTGACGAAACTTGCTCGACCCAAGCCCAGCGCAGAACGACAGAGGGACTTTAGCCAGGCAGTCCGATTAGGAAATGACAGCATGCGCATCACTGGGATTAGTTGCGTACCATGTTTTACAACCCTCTTCAAGAAGGATCACGTGAGCTCCAGATAAGGAGGCTCAATTATCCCATTGAGAGGCTTCCGTCACTCGGGTCAGATCAGTTGTTTTTTCCGCTGCAAACCGTGTGCCGAAGTACAGAGGAGGAAGTTTTGCTTTGGATTGAATCCAAGAATGTGTCGGTCCATTGTGCAGTACATGGTATCGGCGTACCACTTACAGTTGCAGTGAAACCCCCACAGGGGTTCTCCAAGAGCATAGGAGTAGATCCAAAAGGACTTGCTACGTGCCACGCAGCAGCCCATGAAGGGTCCATTTTCACCGACACGAAACCGTAAGCCATTTATTCATCAGTTTGTCCAGGAAGTTAATCCGTGTCAAACTCATGTGCCGTTTGATTTTTGCCCCTTTGGTACCGTTTACTCATTCTTTAATTTAAGTTGCTAAAATGGCGAAAGTACTTGAAATACTAATATCTCGCAATATGCCGATGAAGTGGGGTGAAAACATCTAGTGTTTCAACTTACCACATTATCCTCTCAAGTGTTTGTATATGTGTAAAGACGTATTATCAAATGAGGACTATGAAGTGTGATGCGGTAGACTATCCGGTATGATAAGTACACCAGGTTGTAGCACCCAGGGATGCGTCATGCGACCAGTTGGGCACAAGCTAATGACTATGTCTGGCCCTAGGTAAGCTGATGAGAAGATGCTAACAGATTAAGTCTGCAGTGAATCACTTTTCCACGGTTCCACTAGTCACAAAGAGAATAGTGCTCACTTGCGTTGCCTAGGTGATGATTAAACGCAACACAGTTACCGTCTCACTCAACCCTTCTGTTCACTTTATTGTAAAAAAAATGAAAGACAATAAACAGATGATAACAGTTCTGCTAGCGTTCCCTTACAGTGTCCACACCAAGGCGCGAAGAATTCCACCAACCAGGGCTCCTCACTCTTCAGAACAACATCTTCGAAGTTGTTGTCCGTCAGCTCCACCACATCGGTCCGGCCCGACCCACCACCACTCTGCTGAGAACAGGGGAGAATCGAGAATCAATAATTATACCGAACAAACCCCCCCATGTCCTAAGATTCGGATTCCGATTTAAATGTTACAATTAAAGCAGTTAACATAAAATCCAGGTAACAGACGTCGAATAAGATCTGCCAGCACAAAACCTATCGTGGCTAACTTCCAGGTGTACATCCCGAAATAAGAAACACTTTTGATGTTCTCGAATTTGTTTCCCAATGGTGACAAACCTTCCATTAAAAGATGGTCCGTAACACTGGCGTTGTAATTTTCTAGACGTGCATGTGCCGATTAGGCTGAGGAAATAATAACTAAACGCATAGTTGTACATATTTTCTGTCAACGTCAAAGTAAGGGATCCCAGCAACCTCGTCCAGTGGAAGACCGAAAAATATTTTGAGGTCACTCGGTCGCAATGACGCTATCTCGTACAAACCGCATAAAGCTCCGGAGCAATGACAGAGGTTAATCCAAACGGCTACGAGAAAAAAACACTCTGGATTCTTATGGCGCACCAAGCAATCAGCCGATGAATCTTTTCAGGATGGTAGACGTGAACTATTAAAGGCGTGTTGGGCGAATTTCAGCGAAACTGCGGTGGGCGCCTCAAAATGAGCTGTTCCTGACCTATAGAAGCCACTATAAGTTTATAAGTAGGCTACCTTTCGGAAGAGATCAACAATTCATTTATAGTCGTGTTAAATAGTCTAAAGGCTATCATTCAATATCTTCCAAGAGCAAGCGCTTGCAAACGAGAGAAGCTAACTCATACTTGCTGGGGTGTGACATTGCAAAAAAACGGTTCCATTGGCATATACAGTGAAGTTCGAACCAACGCTGCTTCCAGAACGTGAAATGGGGGGAGGGGAAATAGCTGCGCATTGCAGGCGGGAGATGATAAATTAGTGCATAAATCCAGCACTGTCCGTGGGATGTCAATCTGAGTAGAAACTGACCACAAGAACGCCACTGACATTGATTAGTAGCCATATCTTGTAGCGTCTCGAACCAGTAGCAATAGGGATCACGTGGTCCCTAACCTGGAAGGCGAGTCGCACCGAAAGCACACAGACCTTTCGCAATCCCTTTCATATCCATCTCCCGCGGCAAAGATTGGCTAGCGGTTGCTCCACCTACACTCACTTCGGCACGGAAAACAACACTCTCTGGCAAACGATGACTCCGTATGCACAATACATGACCTAACTAATGCAATTTCCGGTGCTGGACACATTCTTCGACCGAAGTCCGCGTTGCACAACCGAACACCTGCACAGAGCTCTCCAAAAGTTTCTGCACCAGCACGTATGTCCAACACGGATATCCGTAAATCCTACACAGTTTACACAGGAAGTGAATAATGAGGTGGATTAGAGAAGTTCTTCAAAATCCTGTTCTTCGAAGTTCAATACACCAATGACATTATTGTCATATATTGACAAAGTGTATGAAACACCTGCTTTCAAGAATCATTCTGTCCTTCAATGTGCACTTCCAATGCTCTGAACATAGCCAGTCCCTAACACACCGATTATCATTAGAGGAGGTCAGTGGAGCTTGTGCGAAACTTGACGCACCTCGGAAGTTGTGTTAGCTCTCATGGAGTCCATGAGTAGAACGGACGAATCTCGAAAACCAGAACTGCGATTCCCCATTCGCGAAACTTGTAACATGGAGTTTTTATGCACCAGACTATACTACGGTCTGTTTTTGTACGACTGTCGATCTGATGCGTCTTTAAGGCTCCATTAATATCTCTCTGTTGGTGTCAGCCGGCCTCTAGGATTTGACCCATGTAACGAGCGTGTGTCCGACTGAATTCACCTAAAGATATGACTGCAGAATGTTCAGTTCGTGCAGTGTCTAATCAAGTAATGGGGTGTAAATCCTTCGACTGTTTGCCGCAGCTAAGCACCACGCCCCTTCTCCTCATCTCAATTTTCATTGCCGGGTAGGCCACTACAGGAATAAAACATCGGTGATCTAGGGTGCTGTTGCTCTCAGGAGCTATGAGGAATCTTGTTAGGCATTGTCTGCCTCCCATATGCAGAACCCATCGGTACTCAAAAAAATAACCAATAAAGGAAAATGACACCATACTTACCGAAGACTCCTGACCCATTCTGGATTCCACGAGCTTTTTGACCTGATCCAAAGCCTCCTTAACAATGTGTGAAGCCTGTCGACCACCTGTAAGGCACTCTCGGGTGAACTATCAACTGTGAACTTACCTGTGTAGGGCGTGGAGGTTTTATGCTTATCTTTCACAAACATCAGGATAGTCGGGAAACCCTTCACATTGTAAGTGTTTGCCAATGAGGAATGCTCGTCTGCGTTCACGGCGGCCAACTTGACAACACCCTTTGGAAATAATAGAGCGAACACTAGGGAGCGAACCAACCTTGAGTGCTGTGGCTGCCTGTTTCCATTCAGGGGCTAAGTTCTTACAATGTCCACACCAGGGGGCATAAAACTCTACGAACCAAACGGAATCATCCGAAGTGACCCGATTGAAGGTGCTAGGGGTAAGTTCGATCACATCATCGTTGGAACTGTACAAGCCCAGTACGGGGCATAGGAAACAGAGGAGACTATATACTACAACAGATAGGAAAAACAAAACCGTAAGTAGTGGCAACGAGAAATAATTTATGCTAGACTACGTAGGAACTTAAGCATCCGGCCCCATATAGTGAACAATCCCAGTATGTTAGTAAAAGAATAAAATAACTGATATTCGGATGGGGTTTTTCTCCGGTGTCCTTATGGGGTCCATCAGTAAAATAGCCCAGCTGGCCGCAAACGTTTTTGAAGGATGGCTGGATCCCTCTTAACAAGCTTTCTTCGTGGAACAGAATAAACTGTCCGGTTACATTGAGTCAGGAGTGGTTCCGAGTACCAAAGGCCACTACTCGATGAAGGAGCACCATACACTCCACCCAGAACCGAAGTCAAATAATGTCAGAATATACTGCCATTGTTGTGACAAACTTACCTTTTATCACCTTTTGTTAGTTCGGACGCAAAATATTGAAACAATGAAGTACCCCGTGTAGAAACATTCATGTATTCCACCAAAGCTCTAGAGGCATCAATATTCAGACCATTATCTCCGCGATACGAAGAGGATGAACTTTATTGAGATGTATCGGCTTGCAGGCCTCCAAGACCTATTGAGCTATACTGGTGGTCCCGGCAACGCTAGCAGAGTCTATCATACCTGGGAAGTATCCCAACTCGCGTACATCCATGAATAAACCTATGCAACATCGGCCGTCGCGTGGTGCAATCAGCTGAGTCGCCCTACTTGTTGTATACAGTAGGGCTGGTACGGTGACAAACTTTTATCACCTTTTGTTAGTTCGGACGCAAAATATTGAAACAATGAAGTACCCCGTGTAGAAACATTCATGTATTCCACCAAAGCTCTAGAGGCATCAATATTCAGACCATTATCTCCGCGATACGAAGAGGATGAACTTTATTGAGATGTATCGGCTTGCAGGCCTCCAAGACCTATTGAGCTATACTGGTGGTCCCGGCAACGCTAGCAGAGTCTATCATACCTGGGAAGTATCCCAACTCGCGTACATCCATGAATAAACCTATGCAACATCGGCCGTCGCGTGGTGCAATCAGCTGAGTCACCCTACTTGTTGTATACAGTGGGGCTGGTACGCAGAAACGGGCTACTACTGATACCTCTCTTCATTTTCTTTGACGTACTTTTTCTTCTTCCTCCTACGCCCCACTGATAACTGTCTCCTTGAAGGCCCGTCCGTCCTTCATCGGTTGTTCAGGAAACACCTGCGCCTAAGCTGGCGCTGGCAGCCTCATGCAACTTTAAATCAGTATTCCAGCCTCGACGCCAGATTGATCTGCCTGGTTTCAGCGTTCGCCCTCATAGACAAGCAGGACTACAAGCTACTTTTACCCTCACACGGGACTATACTGACACTCGTGTGTGCAGTGTATCAGAAACAAGAATTCAAGATGCAAGCACAGTGATGGTGAGTGAGGTTTCCAAACGATGTCCAACCAATCCCACCGGTGGCGTGTTCTTTTGATATGAGGCTGAGATGCATCCATCCCATCGTCGTTCCAAGATGTATGTGGCACATCCTTGCTTGTTTTCTGTACGGGCGTAAGGCTGTTTGTGACGATTTCGCACCCTTCTGGTGCTTAGCCCTCTCTTTATCAAGCGTCCTTTCTCAAGGCCATGCGGTGGTTAAGCATCAGTATTTATTAAAACTGTATACCCACCAATGATAACGCTGATGACGATATCTCAGGCGGCGTACAACAATAAACTTCGGAACTGAGGACAATTTCAGGCTACATCATTCGTTTGATAATCGTTAATGTTCTTAGGCCATATTGGAGGTGGCGTTGCACCATCAGCCGGGTTGGCGAAAGTACGCCAATGGTACTTTGCGCACCTTGAAGAATTCCTCTTCTACTCTATCGCACCCCATTGTGAGTAACCTATTTCCATGTTGGACTTGGACTGACAGCTTTGATAATTTGTGGCAACCGTAGAGGAGGCTTCTGCAAGTCCGACTTCGAAAACAATTTTTTTGAAACCTTGGAAGCCGGTGTATTGTATTGTACCCACTCTGAAGAGAGCAAGAGAACAAGCTGGTCTTCCTTTGGTGACAAAACGTTCGCCAGTTAGGGGTACCCCACTGTAACTGCAACTGTACGCACCCATCTCCTCAAAGGAATTCTCCGTCACGGAACCTTTTGCGAAGAAGTGCAAAGCATGATCGGTGAGGCATCGATCCATAGTATACTGTTGATCGCAGGTAACTCGAGCGCTAATGCAAGCCGATGAGAGGAATCCACCCTTCATGGCCTGCGCCACGACAGACTTGGCAATTTCGCTGCGTTGAACCAACTCGCCATTGTCAAATTGCTTTCTCAGCACTTTGTACGCCATTTCAATCGGCTGTAGCTACCTTTCGGTGCCTAGCTGCCATGCCAATCAAAGGAAGCATGAGGGCTGGGATACTGCCAGGTTGCCCAAGCCTAGACAGGGAATGTCGAGATGTTCGAACCACGGACATTGGAAGGCATTTACCAACATGATAGACGAATAATAGCCACACTGTCTCAAAACGACCTTATCCTGGCAGAACCTCGATGAGCATCAGTAGTAGAGGGTTACCGTTGAAATCGAATGATGGCTACTATGGCGGAGAAGCTGAAACGGGAAACGCAGAAGGATTGCATCGTACCCTCGTGCGAGCGGGAGTCCAACTACATTCTGTTGCCAGGCAAGAGTAAGGAATCGCGAAACACACCAATGTCCTACCATTGGGGTGTAAAGAGACTTAAACCAACCTTTCTAACAGTTCAACAATGCAACTGACAGAAAACTGGTCGCGCCAATCTGGACACCTCCTTAAAATGCACAAGCTGCGTGCACCGATGAAGAATGCAATCTTCGACTCGATGAGAGTTGCATTCAGCCTTTATACCCAACTAAGAGGTCTAGATCGCACAACACGTCACGAACGTGAGCGTCACGACAGCAGACCGAAGAACTTACACCACCCACAGGACAATGAGGAAGCTACACCCATAAGCGGTAACGAAAGCCAAATACGGTCTCGCCTCCTTCATTCCACAACTCAAGTCAGCGTGTACACATCGGTCAAATGTGTCTCACAGTCGCACTTACCGTTTCGCCTTCATAATTTCCTGCAAGTTTTCTGAGCATTTGTAGACGGAATATCGCGACATCCCACTATATGCAGAGAGTGTAGGTATTTTGGCCCATGTGTAAAAGATATCTACCATTAAGGGCGATTCCTTATTGTAACTCATTCCTTGATGAGCTCTGGAAAGCTTTTTCCCCTGATGGTGATAACACCGAAATCAGTTCTCACGAAGAGGTTGTGGAAATTATGTACGCAAGAAGACGCTACTGAAGTGAGGTGATGATAGCCTGCACGTTGTTCAGCTGTTACATCTGAGAAAAAGCCATGGTAGAAAGTTTCAATAATCCCAGTTCACTCCAATGATACATGCACCTTAAGACACTGATAAGTTTTCAGTTGAAGTGCTGTTTTGGCTCCAGCCTATTGCTCAACTCCATCTTTTTCGTGTTTCGGTAACTTCAGAGCATTCACTATGCTCCATGAAGCTATAATTGGAGGTCATAATGCCGCTTGTGTCTAATACCTAACTGTAGACCAGTAAACATGTGATGATGGGCTATGGTGCCACTTCCACCGCTTCTGCACAGCGGCCGCTTGTGTCTAATACCTAACTGCAGACCAGTAAACATGATGGGCCATGGTGCCACTTCCACCGCTTCTGCACAGCGTTGTTACTGAGGCCAGCTCCCACGCTACATATTCCACGAGTCCGGCACAGTATAGCAGGCACCGAAGTGCCGTATACGCCCCTTGAGATCCGAGAATCTTTTCGATTACACAAATGGTGAAAATCGGCTAAAATGATTCTGGCCTTTGAGATTCGTTTGTTGACTCTGTTCGTCACACCGCCATCAGAGTCAATGAAAATTCAGAGATACGCATAGCGCTTCAGCGTCAAAACTTTGATTCGTTAAAGATATCATCATCAACGTCATCGACAGCATAACATCAGTGTTCAACACTTCTCTGCCGTACAACCATGATCTATCTGAAAGCCTTATTGAGGAAAGGAATAAAGGTGGGCGGGGAAAGGCCTTAGTGCTAGCTTACTACAATCATTCCAAGGTACCTACACTCATTCAGGCTATCTCGATAGGAACTGGCAACAAGATCACCACTGACGTCGGTTGGCAGCCATATCGTGCAGCGTCTCCAACGCAGTGAGGATCACGCACACATCATCAAGCGCCCCGACAATTTGGGAAGAAACGGACAGCACGAACACCACCGACGATGATCAGCCACCATTCCTTGTAGTGTCTCTAGCCAAGAGCGTGAGCGGTCACCGGGACCCTATTCTGGAAGGCGCACTGCACCAAAAAGTATAAAATTCTTCTTAAGTTTTCAGGAGCTTCTACTGAGTCATATGTTTTCCGCCTCCAGGTTTGCGCCAATATGAAGAAGGCACGGAGAACAAAATTCGTCTCGGTAGACGGTGTCACGGTATGCGTAGAACACGGACGAGCCAGCGTAGTACATTGCGTGGTATGTTCTCCGTGACTGAATGCTTGCTCAGTGGTTAGAGGGCGAATTTACTGATAGGAAGGTCCTTGGCTCGAAGACGACCTCTGCACCTCAACTTCCCCTGTCTAGGCAGTACCCCAGCCCTTGTATTGCCCTTCGGGCGATATGGCAGCTAAGCACCGGAAAGGTATTAAAGCTGAACGATATTTTTCATTAATACAACTAAACGCCCTTTTTCTAATCCCCTCGTTACGAATTAATTGACATCGTTCAACACTAGCAACCCCTCTGAGACATCGGTGATCAAAATCCCAAGCACGCCTTATGTCACCTGTTCACAGAGGCCACATCTCGCAATCACTCAACCCTTACTGTAGCCTGGTACATGAGACCCTTGAGACCAAGCGATATGCCTTTTCGAGGCCACGACTGACGCAAATTAGGACGCACGACTCGGGCCTTTGGGATTTTTGAATTGATTTCAACAAACGCACTTCCGTCAGGGTGTCATGATTTTTGTGCGCCTATTCTTATACTTACCATACATACTCGTACTGAACCTTTGTATGTACATTTCAGCTCATGTACGCTTGTTCTTAGACAAGTAAAGCGCTGTTTATCCTCGAAAACCTGGACTCTGTTCTAACTCGTTCTCGGACACATTCTAAACGTTTCACAGGGTAATGTAGGGTTCTCCACAACCTCCAGTGAGTCTCCTTGAATCATAATGCGCATGCTCGGAAACTGCACGTTCTGAATCATGATCTTGTACTTTGAAGGTGCAAGGCGTATGCCGAAAGATGGCATGATAATGGTCAGTCAGTTCAAAGGGGCTTGTGCTCCGCCTTCATCTTCAAGGATGGGAACGATACCGTATGCGTAGTTCTGATGGACAAGGTTCTCACGAGCAACGATTTGGATGCCAAGATTTTGAAGACCTTCCAGCGTTCACCTCAATACTTAGTCGATGACGAAGTTGGACAAGCATAGAAAGAATGTGGACATTCTTGTCGCACATTACTTTTCGTTAGGAACACCCCACTCCCACACGCCCAGAAGTATGAGAGCATAGAGACCGACTGATGTTCAGACATCTGCAGCACACCCCATGGAGCAAGTGTACTTAACAGCAATGACCGACCGACAGAATCAAACACACCCCTGGAATCAAGAAACACGTGTGTATGTGTGGAATCGCTCTAACACCTGACGGAGTGTGAAAGTGTGGTAAACGCAGTCTCTACCCGGTCGAAATCCCGCTTAATGTTCAGGGTAAGGGTTTCGCGATCAACCGTAAAACGACGAAGAATCAGTGACGTCAGAAATTTTGTTACAAAAGGAGTAAAACTAATACCTCTGTGGTTAATACATTCACTACGAGCGCCTTTCTGAAAATATACACTGCCCTCAACTCATCCCAGCTATCCCAGATGGTCTCTCCCCAAATGTACCCAAATGGACTAAACAGGCACTGGCTGAGAAGCCCACCGTCACCCTTGAACAGAGCAGGTGGAAGATTGTCAGGATCACAAACATGACGACGCTGAGTAGAGGTATACAATCGGACACTTTCGAGGCTGAAAGGGTTCCATATTCACAGTCCACCTTTCTGTTGAAGGCCAGGATTCCAGGATGGAGGTAGCAGATAGCCAACTGAATTGTTGCACGAAGTATTGTGCCCACCGGTCAGGGAGTCAATTTGTTCTCTGATAATTTCGCCGATGAGCCTTTGGGGGTCCGGTCAAAAGAATCAAATGGGACAGCTTGTGTACGTTTCCAGTGTTTTTCGCCTCTTCCACCTCTTCAACCTTTCGGATCCACCAAAGTTCTCGGCCTCAATGAACACCCAGTTTTAACTGGTATCGAGTGAAATTGTGGTTGCAGCCAAGGGGAATCTGTCGTCAGGCCTCGAGTAAAGACACGGTCCTATCACAGATCCGATGTTTACATGAGGTTGGCTGGGTTGCACCACATGAGGTTCCGGCTTTGAGTAGCGCTTTCGATATCTGTTCCAAATAGTTGTTAACGATTGACACGGACCACCCATCAGGTGTCTGAGGAGCTGGCTCTAATAGGTCGGTTTTATTCCTGTGTCCGCTAGCTTCCAAGTGGGTAAGCGAGGTGTGCACGTTTTGTGTGGACCTGAAAGGCGAAATGAGAAGTAGCAGCTAACAAGCTCATCATCGGACTCCACGCTGGCATTCCAGGAGGCACGGCGGTGATTGGCTCTTGTCACCGGTTACTAAGACGGTGTAGTCTATTTGGATTTTGGGCGGGTTCGTTGGTGAGCACCAAGTTATCAAGCGATTTCCGCTCACATTGCATCATCCTACGAATGCGCATGATGACGGGATCCGGGTAAACCAAGCGGGTTCGCGGTCAGGAAGTGGCTGTGTCCTAAGCTTCTCTCAAGTGTTACAGGAACAGCATGCGCCCTGTTCCCTGGCTCCCAGAGTGTTCGAGTTCATCGACCAGTCAGTCCTTTTCAGCATGCTTTCGCAACAAGATTTTTTTTCTTTACAGAAACTCGTGCATACCATGCCGTCTCTGGCTACATAGTTGCGGGGACGGCCGAGTGTACGGAAAACCCTCCACAATCTGTTCAGTTGTGGCATACTTTCGGAGTTTAACTGCCACGCCATCAGAAGGAAGCACGAAGCTTAGGATACTGCCAGGTTGCCCAAGCCTAGACAAATTTTCCACCAAATAGTAATGTCCGACAAAGGGTCACTTTCTTCGCTTTGGTCTAATTTCGTGGCTGGAAAAATAATGAAGTAAAATCTAGAAGTTCTCCAAAACCCTGGTGTTTAGA